CAAGTGCAACGAATGATGAGCTCTTACACGGCAACCTGCTTTTGGTTGTATGGAACGAGCACTCTGGATGGTCTGATTTTCAACTGGAGCGAAACAGGTACTGTTTCCCAATTGCTCTATTAGTGCGTTCACCTGTTTGAGTGCACACTTAGAAGGCATGCTTGCGGTAGTGGTGTGCAGTTGTGAACTGCTAGTCACTAACTATAAGTGACTTTCAGTGAAGAAAAAAAAACAAAAATTGATAAGAAAGCCTCGGATAAAGTAGTAGAGCCCGAAAAAACCGGCTGAAATCAACTGGATTTCCTCAGGCATCAAATGGTCACGGTTCAAGCAGCTCTACCAGGCATACTTCACAGTGAATGCCGAGGTGAAACGACCGCTCAGCGATGTTGACTTTCAGTTGATGAAGGAGAAAATGGAATGTGAGGACTGTCGAGAACGTTGCACTCCGGAAGGTGACATACATTTTCAGAAGGTCTTTGGGAAAAATTATAAAAATTTATTTAGAAAAATGGGTTTTTATAAGGCTCATTTTTTCACCACGTTTCTTTATTGGTATCTGTTACTACTCATTTTTATCTTCTATCCAGAATGTCTATAGTTTTAAAAGCTGTGTCTATAGTTTCAAAAGCTAAAAGATCGCTGTGTGGGCGGGGACAGTCCTTCTTGGGGAAATAAAGCATCTATGGAAAAGGCACACTGGTTGACCGTCCGCCTCTGCTCAGCGATCTGAACTGTATCCTTGAAAACCCGCATTCGACCGCAGAATTTTCATTTTCAGGTGAAGAACCCTTGTTGACCTTCAAAAATGTTCTGTGTCCGCATCTGCGTTACGACTGTGATCAGAATGTGATGCGATTCTCAATATGGAGAGGTAATAGCCGTTTTCTCACGTCGACTTCGAAACCTCACCAACCAACATCCTCTGCTGCATATTGAAATGAAGCTGGGGTGTTTTCAAGACTTTGCGAGGCGCTAATCAGTTCGGGGGTGTTCGATGGACTTCTTGTGCAAAACCGCAATTTTCGTCATCGGAACGAATTGCCACAAAATGGGCTGTGAAATTAGTTCAGTTGGATGCCAAGTAGACCACAAGAGACAGCGCAGAGGGAGAAATGCATGATAAACCATGTGTGTCTCGCGATCCGGAATGTGACTGATGCTTTTTTCCCCCTCATGCAAGTTTACTAGCACCTTTTACGACACTGTATGTAGCTAAGATGTATTTCTCCAAGCAGTGGCGCCGCGACCCATTCGCTACAAGAACCATTGATTTGTGACGGGATAAGAAGAAATCCCGTGAGTCCCATGTGAGCTAGGACTTTTTCGAGAACTGAGTTAGTTATTACCTATGTTCTGTTTATTCTGTTGAAAAAGCCACCTGAATTCAGGAATACTGGAGGTGTTGCAAATATTTCAAGACGCTCGAACAAATGTAAAGCAACTCTGGGATGATTTCATCTTGCACGGATTGACAGATATCAACGAGGTGAAGTGAAGGCTTGCTTTGATCGGCTCTTGATGTGGTTCAGTCCCTCGAACTTCTCACTTGGCAGATTTCTATTAGCTCAAAGCACTCACGACTACTCATTCAACCATCTTCAAGAGGAAAATAATTATAGACTCTAGGAGATGCGCGGTACACGGGCTTTATGTAGCGTGGTTTTAATCGAATCCATTGGTCAGGTTAAGGATGTCGGTCTGGGGCAGAGCTCACCAGAAAGTGTGGAAACACAGCGGATGGTCGTAATCTCCTCTGGTGAGAAGAAGGTCGTATTTTGTCATAAGTTCTCGACTAAAGATTTCCCCATTTCACACGTATTATATCCCTCCGTCCCCTTAACCCACTGCGTACCGCGCGCACCGCGTGCTGCACCATGTGAAGCACGCTTCGTTTGAACTCATTTAGCATTGTTAGATGACTGAAAAGAGTCGGTATATTCCTGAAGTCTCTGGGACAAAATATGTGTGGGGGAAACTGCGGGATTGAATAAGAGCTAAGTTACTGACATCCGAGAAATACCTCAACTATACTTCGTTAAATTTTCATTTACCAGTTAAATTGAAACCCTGCTTATTACACCACTGAAAGTTTGTAAAATGGTGTGAATGAACAGGTTTCAGGCACACTGCCTCACGTTTTCAACTCTTTTCAGTTTTATCAAGCTTTTCTTGGCTAGTTTCTTCCCGTTTAGGATACATCTCTACATAAAAAGTGATGCATAAGACGATGTGTGTTTAATATGTTTATCATATAAATGTATATAGATAAAAATCTGATGTGTTTACACTCAGTGCGCCAAAAGTCGCATCGATAAAACGGCGTCGGCCATAGGAGCCGGTTAGCGCAAAACGCCGCGGTACGCAGTGGGTTAACTGGCTTCTCGAATGTCCTGACCGTCACCCTTCAGGTTCAGAATCTCATCCCTAAAATTGGCAACCACATACGGTCTTGTTCGCTGAGTATGCTATGCGATGTCGTAGGCTTGGTTGGATTGGCGCGACGCCAGCCCTTTCTCTACTGACTGTTGTCGCTTGCTCACTTCAGCCATCGGTGGAGGGCAGGCTGGCGTCGCGCCAAACCCAGCCACCCCTCCACCCGCACGAACGACTAAATAGAATTATAATCACTTTAAATGTGCGCTTTTCAGATTAATGATATGCTTTCTGCTCAGCCATCATCTGTTATGTATTGAGGATCTCAGTATATTGCTGGAGGTTAGTGATGCTAATCTGGGAAAAATCATTCATTCCTCTTAATAAAACCCGAAAACGGCTCTGTTTACACAGACATTTCTTAGAATAACCTGTGACAGCCGATGTGATAACATTGAGAGATAATGACGACGTCTGTTCGACTGTCTGCCCAGATTTTCAGGTAGCATCTGTATATCGACACGAGGGGAACGTGGAATTGTACATCTGGAGCCGATTGAGTTGAAAAAGCTTCAAGCCAAAAGTGCTTTCGAATATTTGGCTGATATCGCGGAATCGGAGAAGGTATGGTCGTATTCGTTGCAGACGCCGGAGTGTGCCAGGGAAGGGTTGGGCGCGGCGACACCCCTTTATCCACCAACTGGTTTCGCTTGCCTGCTTCAGCAGTTGGTGGAGACAGGCTAGCGCGGCGCTGATCCTTCCCACTGACACGCCCCAGCGGTCCGTTTATGTACAGAACTGCTGGATTTTTTGGAATCATTTTTCGAAATCCTAGGAAAACGCGGGCTAGTTACTGGTTTCTCGCGCCTGGGGTTTTTGCTTTGAAACGGAAACGTTTCAAAACCTGAAGGAGCCATGAAAAACCTCAAAGCGGCCAATCAAAGGTCTAGCTCCAAAAGCATGCTTTTATTGGGCCAAAAGACAAAAGAAGTGGGCCAACGCCCTTAATAATCCTTTATTTTCGTTTCAAGGAGAGGCCTGTAAAACTGTTCTATTATCAGGAATCGCTAATCAAAAATATATTTTTGGAGGCAAGTTGAGTGAGAAGGAAAGCCCAAGATACCAACGATCGTTAGAGTTTTTTAGTGGGATGGGGCGTTGCAAAGGATGGTGGGACCTCTTAGTCGACTAAATATCGACAGCTGATTTGGGAAAACATGGCTGCATAGGGCGAATAATCTGTCTTCATACTTTGACAGCACATTTTCCACGCACTATTAGGGCGGGGAAGGAATAGTGTGGGTAGACTGTGCCTGCTAATGATTTGGCTCAGTGCATATTGCAGACTGCTTTTCAGATTTTACAAACTGAGAGGAGATGCCAACAAGACAAAGGGGGCCTGCTCCGCCCACATAAACGGCGTGGCTCTACCTTTCTTTTCATTGAGGCAATCCAGGGACCCTTTCGGGCTGTCTGGACGTTCAGACGGAATGTAGTATTACGCTGCTGGTGCACTCTAGTTGAGAGAAGTGCTTAAAGCCTACCAAAGAGCGAGGGCAGATATTGAGGCACGTTTTATGTAGTTTAAAATGGCAGATCAGCAGAATATAAACGGCGTCCTCTTGTACGCTTCCAAATGACCGCAACAGTTAGTGTTTGTACGGCTGGTATGATGCCTGCTCTCCTCACCGTCTAAAGAAGGATGAGGCGCAGCGTCTAAGTTGGATGCCGCGTGGTCTTTCCGTATCCAGGAATCTACTGTTCGAGAACAGTTCACAGTATGTGAAAAACCCGCACCGTTACTGGGGTTCCTTGTCTTCTTTCTTCCTCAGCGTTTCGCCCGCGTCGATGCGTAGGGTCCGCGTTTTTGATATAACTACGCCCAGCTTTTCCCGCACGTAAATGCCTGATCGGGCATGGATGACCGGTATGTTTTCAAAGTCGGTGTGCAACGTGTCTAGCCAGCGCTGTTTGGGACGCCGTTTTGGCCGCTTTCCTGGTACCTCGAATTGGAGAGCAGTTTTACGCCGTCGGACGCAGTAGTGCTGTGATCCGAGATACTTTGAACTTCTCGTGCGCTTGAGCAACGCAGTGTCATCGATTTATGGAGCCCGGCTCATTTGGGTCGGTTGTCAGGTACTCGGTTTTGTTGACGTTCAACCTGAGTCCAAACTTCGAAAGACGCTCGGCCCAAGCTTGCACCTGCTGTTCCAGTGCGCTCTTATCTTCACAAGCAAGCATCATCATCATCAACCCGCACGTACTGGGGGTGTTGCTTCTTGGAAATTCATAAAAGTTCTTGAACTGCAGTCGAGCATTAACTTTGTCTTCAGGCGAACGATATCTTATAGTTAGGCTCAATACCTTTGCTGCCGTCTACGTCGAGATTGTCTACCATATTTCTGTATTGAATTGATTTCCTACGATAGATCAAGTTTCCGTCTGGGGGACGGTGTTTGCTCCTTGTCCACGAATTTTGCCTTCGTTTGAAGACAAGCTATTGGCGCCAGCATTACAGGCGCCCGCGTCCACAAGCCAGCCCTGGCGTCGACGCCTGCGAGCACGTACCATGTGTGGGCACCAAGCCAATGTGGTAGCCCTCTCGAGAAAGTCTAAATATCTACTGGAAATAAATATTTGACAGATTTGCTGGGCGCAGTTCATCGACGTGGGGGGGGGCATTTTGCACTTTCACTGCTTCACTACTTCCGGTTTACAAGTCTCACTCTGGTGAAACTTGTGAACTCTTGTGAAGCTGGAGCAAGCTCGTCTAGCCACCATGGTAAAACGTGTCAACTCAAGAAAAGGCTATCTATATGGGTCGACACATAGATGAGAAATAAAGCCCGTCGCCTGCGACTGCGACAGACTGCGCCGATTCGCTGTTTGCGCTTTTTTGTTTTGACGCTGATTCTTGTGGCACGAGTGCCAGGCAGTTTAAGGACAAGCTGGTTCGTGTTCAGGGCGTATCGGGGGACACAAACAGTATCAGGGCCGAAAGTCATCTCTGCCCACGGGGAAAAATTCCGATGGCCTTGAAGTCAATGAGTGGGGCAGCAAAGGGTAAATAGAAACTACATACACTTTTATTTATTACTGGTCATATTGGTTTTTTATGTACAGATCGAATATGTGCTGACAGCCGAGCACTCTCTGGTGCCAGTTTCACAATTGGTGGAGAAAGTATAAGATTGGTGCAGATCACAATCGAATTCGTCTCGTTCAATCGAATATCACGCATTCAGGACCACTTGACAGCAGCTGTGAGATGAGGTCCGGTGAGAAGTTCGTGTACTTTCAATGATTATCGCCTATCCACGGGTGAGAGTACGCCTTGTGTGGCTATGAGGAGCAATGGGGCATGTGTATGTGTGGCCTGCAATACAGAAGATTTCGAGGGTAGCAATTTTGAATGAACACTTATCCTTCACCCCGAAGGACTGCCCGTTCCGGTGGGATCGCCAACCTGCGATTTTGCCATTGCCACTCGCTCAAGCATTTGAACATTTTTGCTCGATGTCCCGCCCGGGGCTATTAGCGCCCCTGAAGCAAAAATCAACTGTGTGCTCTATTCATGAACTCGTACTGCTCACAAATCTTCATTATTCAGTTTCACACCGTTACGGATTGCCGTTGTCACTTGTCGTGACACGTTTTCGGAAACTGTACTGCCGACAGTACCGATGGCGGAGTATGGTACGACTGCTAACCATGTGCAGGTACGAATCGTTTAGTTGTTTCAGTTCATCTGACAAGTAGAAATTCTGATGGGGAAGGGGAGGCGGGTCGATTCTTGATCTCGAATAGCCTTACTTCCCAAATGGTTTTCACCGTTGGATCTGTGACGCGGCGCATACTTTGGGAAACTCTCCGCTTCGCGACCGCTCGCTTAATATCTGCGATCATTGCCTATAATCCCTTCACATTCTACTGTATTCTACATTCTACTCTACCAATTATTTGCAGTCTCAGCCGATGGCAAGTAGTACATCGTCGCCGTTTGCCGCCCAGCTCCATCACCTGATGAAGCTTCACTGCAAATCGCCATCAGATGTGCTCAGTGTATTGGGTTACACAACACAGGAAGCCTATCACTCGTCGGCAGTCTACCAACCGCCTCCTCAACAGTACCGGTAGCAATACCGTAGTGTGGGATCATCCGAAACGAGTCGATACAGTCATATCCGGTTGGAAGTAATATTGAAAACTTCATCTTCCCTCAGATGGACCCTTTCCCTTCATCAAAGGGCATCCTGTCAATGTTACCGGCTGAGATGTTTTTCGGCGCCTAAGCAAGTCAGGACCGGTGTGTTGAATGAGCTGTTCAGAAAGATTAAAAATGGGTCAATAGGCGCACGCGGCACCGCCTTCGCGGCCACGCGGCGAGTCCTCGTCGTCGCGTGCGGCATAAGTACCACGGACGCGGCGACTGTGGGCGTGGCGAGCGGTGCCGCGTCTTGCCCTCTGACGCATCCGACTTATATTGTAATTAGTAGCGTAGTGTGATAGGTAGTCCTTCCGTGATTGTGATTCAAAAAAGTATTGTGTATTTCCCGGAGCAGTTCATCTTCTAATCGATTCTCCTCTATCTTTTTTTAAACTCTCCCTTCAGTTTCACGTTTCATTTTCCCATATAGGTTTCTCTATTGTAACTGTAGGAACGATGTTAATTGGACCATTGAGTTTTCCTCATTGGTAAGCTTCTCAGTGCCATATTAGAAGGAAGAACTCACCAATAGGAAAACAAAGATATCCAGGTGACTCCGCCTATCTGCTCGGCACGGAATGCCTAAGGATTAGATGAGTTATTCTAGGTAGTTGAGAAACCTGCTAAGGGACCTCCTTCTTGACTGACTGACCTCCGCAATTTGAACCCTCCTCTTATGTGTCCTGATATATCTTCATCTGGGAGCATTTCTATCTATTGTACAGGTCTTATGGCTGACCTTTGACATCTGACCTGTGTGCCTCTCACATCAAAATTGATTTTTTTCTTCTTCCAGTTAACCTCCACAGCTCCCATTTGACCCCTGTGCTCTACTAATGGCCTTGTATTAACGGATGCAATCCAGCAGTAAGCATGTTTTTGCCCAATTTTGGCTGGATAGCATTTCGTATGAGTTATTTTCGTGCCTTCACTGATTACTTGTTGTTGTGGCTCACTTGTTCTGGTACTAGTTGTGAACGATTCGCCTTGATCTCGTGCCTAAACCATAAACACTTAGAAACTTGTCGCATGTTTTTTTCCATTTCTCATATAGCTTCTATGGTTGACGTTGTTTTCGTAGTTCTAAATGTCAGTCAATACGTCTTTTGCATTGTTCTGTTATGCCTGAGTTTCTTAATTAGACCGTAGCAGGCTGGCCTGGAATGGTCAGCATGGTTAAAGGACCGCAGATAACGAATCGGTAGACGCAGAGCACGATGGTGAAGTGACTGATTGATGATCATTCTATGAACAACAGAAACTCATTGGCACATTTGTGAGGGGAAACAGCAGGAAGAGCAGCGAAGAACACCTTCACCCTCCATACTCTTGACGTCGTGGGCTTTGCGTCCGACTAGGGGCAGGTCCTAGCTAAGGTTTTTCTCGGGTCTTAGCTAAGGTTTCCTCAAGATTGAAA